AGAGACACATATCCATCACAGATGTTTGAGTGGATTTTGAGCTCGCATTTAATTGGAGCCCTAATACAAGAACAGTCGGTTAGTATGACATGACCCTATTTGCTACTCACACTTATGAAGATATCACTGAAGATATGGTGCTGTATCAAAGTGGGGTACAGAAATCAGATCGTGCCTGGCCATCAGAAACAATAGTGTCTGGAATCTTAAAGGATTTTCTTAAAACAAGCAGTCATCTAAGTGAAGGATTAGCTGAGTCCATTTGGAAGAAGCACACCAGCCTGGTTTGATTCAAGGATTATAAATCATAAAATCTAACCCCATAAGGGAGCAATATTAGAGCTTAAATTCTAAACACAATGTTTTCAGAATACGGTGGAGGGTAGTTGTGGTAGCTAGATGATCTGATATGAGCCAGACACTCTTAGAGCACTGATGCTGTGTATTGGCTATGCATTGGGCGTGTGATACGAAAGGCCAGCAGTTTCAAAATCACCAGCTGCTCCACAGGAAAAAGATGGGGCCCTAGACTCCTGTCAACCGATATACCTACAGAAACTCACAAGGGCAGGTGTGTCTTCTCTTCTAGGGTCACTATGGGTTGGCATCAACTTGATAGCAATGAGTTTGGATTGGTTTTGTGGAGACACCTCTGGCTAGGGGAGGAGTGCAACCTGTCAATCAGCTTGCAGCCCAATGCCATCTCCTTGGTGTCATAAACCTTTTGGTAGACAAGTTAGAGACACTGGCAACTGCTCGCTCTGCCACTCCACTTTCTTGCCTGCTGGAACTCTGTCTGCCTCAGGGGATAGCCTGATGTGAGCTACTAGATCAGGAGAGCTGCTGGCACCCTGCCATTTTCCCACCAATCTTGGATCTAAGTGACTTTCATCCATTGATCTGTGATTGCCCCGCCTCCCACTTCACTTGTGGGCACTAGCTACATGATTTGAGAAGGACTTATGGGCTCTAGCTGGACTGGGTTGAGATGCCGTCTTGATGCAAAGTTGCTTCTCAATGTAAAACTCCTTCTTGTACATAGATGAACGTCACTGGATTTATTTCTCTAGAAAACAGTAGCCCAGAACAGTAGTGGAGGCCCATAATTTATTTGCAAATACCCCATGTGGATTAAGTCTCCAGTGAATTCCCTCTGACTATCGTCCAGGGAGGTAAATAACCTTAATGCCAGACAGAACATTGTAAAGCTGATTTTTGGCAGCTGTTGTTAGGCTACTATGGAACCTTTGATCTCACCTTTTAATCATTTTAAATTTATTCCAGTGTTAAAATATTTTCTGCTTTCTTTAAATTCGAGGTATTCTCTATTTTAGTTGGTCATTTTTGCTGTACCCATTCTCTATATTTCTTTGACTGTTTTGTATACTTCTTTGTATAGAGGGTACAGGATAGGTAAATCGATAGAGATAGTAACTGGATTAATAATTCTTAGGGACATGGCAAGGGAAATATGGGGGAAATGCTGAGTCAACAACAATGAGTACAAGAAAGAAGTAAATCTTCTAAAGTTGAAAGTGGTGATGATTTCACAACTTTTATTAGCATGCATGGATTATTGAATGTATGGCATGTAAATGGTACATCAATAAAACTGTCAACATAAAACAAACAAAGCACGTAGAATTGGCTCTTGCTGGCATCGTGAGATAAGCATTGGGATACCAACCGAAAGGTCAAAGGCTTGAATCTATCACCGGGTCCAGGGATAGAGATGAGGCAGTCCATTTCTATAAGGATTAGTATCATCAAAAGCCCTAGGAAGCACTTGTGCTCTATCCTGTTGTTTCCTATAATCACATCACTGCAGGGAACAAATGGATAATAAAAGTCTAGTGCAGTTATCACACTTAACCATGAAATTGTGTACATAATTCCTATGATAAGAAACACGTGAAAGTATTTGCTGATGACTTATCAATATGACACCGTAATGGAGGCTCCATTTTGCAACAAGAAAAGGGACATAAATAAAAAGACACATATATGAAACAAATGAATAAAAGCATCTCTGTTTGCAAGTGATTTGTTTGTAGAGAAAAGACTCTTCAAAAAATACTAGAATTAACAATGTATTATAACAAGAGTGAAGAAGAATCAATGCATTTGAATATTGAAAGTACCACGGTCTGCCAAAAGAACAAATACATCTATCTTGGAGGAAATACAGGCAGACTGCTTCTTAGACGGAAAGACAGCCTCTGACTCACATTTGTTGGACATGTTGTCAGAGAGACCAGTCTCTGGAGACGACCATCATGTTTGGTAAAGTATAGGGACAGAAAAAAGGGGAAGAGGCTTGACAAGATGGTTTAACCCAATGGCTGGCTTGAACATAACAACAGTATTGAGGGTGATGCAGGAGCAGGCAGTGATTCATTTTGTTGTTTTTGGATTGATATAAGTTGGAATTGACTTGAAGTCATCTAAAAACATCAACACATCAATATCATAATATGTCCAGTGAACATTCATGATACAAAATTGTATCCTGTATCCTATTAGTAAACATTTTGAAGCTTATGAAAGTATAGTTTTTAGTAAACCCAAATGTGAAATATCTATATATACATAAAAATAGATATATAAGACAAGACTGGCAAGAGTAGAAACTGAAATACTGGTGAAATAAATCAACGATGGGAGATATATACTCCTTATGTACTGAAACACACAATATTGTAAATATATGAAGCTTGTTTATAGATTGAACAACATGCTGATCAAATCTCAGCAGAAGGAATAAAAAGCTGATTTAAAAATGTCCTGAAGGGAAAAAATAAAAATACCCAAATAATTTGTCTTTCATGAGTGATTGTTATATATATTTTAAATTAATCCACATGCAAAGTTTCAAGTTATCATTAAAATAACCAGTTTTACAATTATGTATTTATTATAGGAAAAACCGAATCTATTTCCACATTTTAAATCTAGCAAGTTTCATTAGCAAGTTGATAGGGCTCATCTGTTATTTGTAAACTATAAAGTATCATACTTCAATATTTCTTAAATTCAATGCATTAAAAAATGCAACTTGTACTAAATTTAGTAGTCAGTATAGGATCAAAAATATGGGGAAATCGTACCTAGTTGCTAATTTATATAAATTTTAATATAATTGCAGTTTTACTTCCCAAAGAATCTTAATAATAAATATTATAATTGTATAGTAAAAGGCATCTCAAAAATCACTGCCACTAATTCAGACAGAATCATCGAATTAATGATTAAATGAGTCGTAGCATGAACGGAAGACATATGCAGACCGAGGTTCATCGGAGCACGGTCCACAACAGCAAGAAGATGGAAACAACTTAAGAATGGATAAAGAATCTTCGGTACATGCACACAACAGAACGCTATTTCTCATAGCAGACCGTGATGAAATCACAAGGCAACTCATGGCATGGATTGAAGTGGAGAGCATTATATTAAGTGAAATTAGTCAATCCCAAAATGACAATTATTGTATGAAGCCAATGTTAGAAAGTGAAAAAATAGAGAGAGACAAAGTTCTGTATTCAAAGTTTAACGTGATGGGACACATTTCTTTTAATCATTTTTTGGGGGGCTCATACAATTCATCACAATACACAGATCAATTGTGTAAAGCACATCTATACATTTGTTGCCTTCATTATTCCCAAAATTCACTTTCATCTTGGGTTCCCGGAATCAGCTCATTTTCCTTTTTCCCCCTCCCCCTCCCTTTCTCCTCCCCTCTCTCCCATGCACCCTTGATAATTTATAAATTATTATTGTATCTTATATTACACTGCCCGGCGTCTCCTCCCTTCACCCACCCCTCTGCTGCCCATCCCCCAGAGAAGAGGTTATATGTAGCTCCCTGTGATCAATTCCCCCTTTCTACACCCACTTTCCCTCCTGGTATCGCCACGGTCACCCCTGGTCCTGAGACGTTCATCTGTCCTAGATTCCCTGTGTTTCCAATTCCCATCTGTAGCACTGTGCATCATCTGGTCTAACCAGGTCTGCAAGGCAGAATTGGGGTTCTGGTAGTTGGGGGGAGGAAGCGATTAAGAACTAGAGGAAGGTTGTGGGTTTCATTATTGCTATATTGTACCCTAAGTGACTCATCTCCCCACTACCCATCTGTAACGTATGTCCAGTTGTCTAGAGATGGGCATTGGATCTTCATCATGCGCCACCCTCATTAACGAGGATATGATTCTCCACCACCCCCCACCCCCGTCTTTGGTGTTTGAAGCCTGGTCCCTTTGGCCCTTCATGATCACACATGTTGGTGTGCTGCTTCCATGTGGGCTTTGTTGCTTCTGGGCTAGATGGCCGCTTGTTTACTTTCAAGCCTTTAAGTCCCCAGACGCTATAGGTCTCAATAGCCGGGCACCATCAGCCTTCTTCACCACACTTACTTATGCACACATTCGTCTTCAGCGTTTATGTGTGGAAGGTGGTCACACAATGATGGTTTTTGTTCTTTGGTGTCTGCTGCCTGTTTCCTTCAACACTTCATGTTCGCACAGGCTCGTGTGCTTCTTCTCTGTGGACTTTGTTGTTTCCGAGCTAGAGGGCCGCTTGTTTGCCTAAAAGCCTTTAAGACCCCAGACACTATATCTTTTGATAGCTGGGCTCCATCAGCTTTCTTCAGCACATTTTCTTATGCACACATCTGTCTTCAGCGATCATGTCGGGAAGATAGATATCATGAAATGACCGTTTAGCTGAGCAAGGTGCTCTTGTATTAGGGGAGTGCGCATGACGAGGCCCAATGTGATGGGACACATTTTTTAAAAAACATAGCTATATGACTTAAATAGCTTTCCTTTTCAGGCTGACCTTTTCAGATGTGAACAAATGAGTGAAAAGCATGAAGAATCTTAAAAACAAAACAAACAAACAAAAAAACCACTAGCGACTTAAGCACTCATTCACAGAATATTGCAAACACAAGTGACTGAGAACTGACATAGGCAATATTGTAGGATCAACATGGAAAGTCAACAGGGAAAAGGTTTCATTTCTATGACCCTTTTCACTGCATCTTTGACCTCTTTGTTTCTCAGACTATAAATCAATGGGTTTAACATGGGGATCACTAGTGTATAGAACACAGCAACCACCTTCTCCTGCTCTACCGAATACTGGGAACTCGGCTGAATGTAACTGAAGCTTAAGGTCCCATAGAATATGGTCACAGCAGTCAGGTGAGAGGCACAGGTGGAGAAGGCTTTCCACCTGCCTGCTGCTGAATGGATCCGCAGTATAGCAACAACTATGAACGTGTAGGAAGTGATGACAATCAAGAAGGTGGCCATGGCAATGACTCCAGAGAAGGTTAACAGCAACAACTCATTCATGGATGTATCCGAACATGAAAGCTTTAGTAGCGAAGGGATATCACAGAAAAAGTGGCTGACAACATTTGACCCACAAAAGAACAGTCTTCCCAAGCTTACTGTATGTATTAATGAGTTAATTGTTCCGCATAACCATGAACCAGTGACCAGCACGACACACTTTCTCTTAGACATGGCAACAGTGTAAAGTAAAGGATTCACAATGGCCACATATCGGTCATACGCCATCACCGACAGCATGAAACCTTCTGTGGTAACAAACATCCCAAAACACAAGTGCTGCACCATGCAAGCAGGGAAAGAGATTGTTCCTGTCACCATCAGGAGGTTTATCAGCATTTTGGGTGCAATTGCAGATGAGTAGCAGGCATCTACCAATGAGAGGCAGCTGAGGAAGAAATACATGGGTGTGTGGAGCTTGGGAGTGATTCGAATTAAGAAGATCATGCCCAGATTTCCCACAACGGTAATGGCATAAATCACCAGAAACAACACAAAAAGCACCACTTTCATTTCAGCCTGATCTGTCAGGCCCAAAAGTATAAACTCAGTAACAACTGTGAGATTCTCCTCGGCCATTCGCTTGTTTGCTTTCAGAAAGTCTGCTGTAAAAACAAAAATGTGGATTACTATTTCGATTTGATGCAAAGAGTTACTGATACATTTTTTGACTTAGTAGTAGTTTTTTCTCACTGATAATCCTCATCCATAAAAGTAATAGTGTCTAAACTTCTTTCCTGGGAGTCCTGGTGGCATAGTGAGTTAAGCATTGGGCTGCTAACTGCAAAGTCAACAGATTGAAATGACCAGATTGAAAAACTTTTCAACAGATTGAAAAATAAGGCATTCTACTACCATGCACACTTACAGTCTTGGAAACCAACAAGTACAGTTCTCCTCTGCCCTACAGGTTCTCTGTGAGTTAGAACAATCCAATATCAATGAGTGAGACAAACTTCTTTCCAGAACTCCCTGCATATTGCAACTGGTTAACCTGTTCACTGGTTAATTTGTCCACATCGGTGGCTTGAAGCTACACTGAGGCACATGGAAATAAAAGCCTAATGTCTGCTTCTGAGAGAATAATCACATGAAAACACTACTGACCACAGTTCTATTCTGACACACGTGTCAAGAGCTTGGGGTCCACCCCTCTGGCAATAGCCTTGCTATCATGAAGAATGCATTGGAAAGTAGCTTTGATGGCAGATGCAGTTTGGTTAAAGTTTAACATCTTATCATTGGATTTCCTTTTGTACCCACTTACATTTGTTCTAGAGTTTTACATTTTCTTTCTTTTCAATAGAGATTTTTCTGTTTTTCTTTGTTATTGTTGTTGGTTTTATATTTGTTTAGTTCTTTTGGGTATGTTTTTCTGTACATTGAATCCAGGATAGCTAAATCTATAGAGGCAGTAACTGGATGAATGGTTTCTTGAAAGCATGGCAGGGGAGGTTGGTGGAAATGGGAAGCTAAGAACAATGTATACAAGAAAGAAGAAAATGTTCTAAATTTGATTGTGGGGATGACTGTATAAACCTTTGTAATATGATTGAGCTATTGATATGCCAGTCAATAGTTGCCTGTAAAATTGTTTTAAATTACATGTCAATTATATGCCAGTAAAATTGTTTTAAAACGTTCAAATCAATATAATCACCATTTCTGTATTTGAATTTTCTTCCTAGTTATTTTTAAAATGTGTCATATTTTATTCTCTAGAAACTAATATGCAAAAAAGAAAAATGAAACCTTTGTCTCAAAATTGTAGCCTCATTCTGAATGTCTACCTTAATAACAAAATAACACTAGAGCAAAGAAAATGTAGATGTAATTAAAACTAAGAGGAATATGCACAATATGTATTATATAATAATCAAATAATCATTCTGTCCATCTCTTTTAAAATTAAAATGATTAAATTTAAATTCTACAAAATTATATCTATCAAGTGATGACATTTATTATATATCATTTAGCAACCCTATAGGACAGAGTAGAACTGACTGTATGGGTTTCTGAGACTATAACTCTCTACCAAAGTAGAAATCCTCATCTTTCTCCCAGTTTAGATAAGTAAAAATTAAATAAATTTTTTTTTTTCAAAATTTCTCTTTTTTTTAGGAGCTATCAACAAATTTGACAATTGGGGAAAGTAAGATAAACAAAAACTTATAAGCCTGAAATTTAAGAATTAAATTATTATAGATATAATTCTCATGTCTTCTTTAGTTGGTTACTTTTTTTGTATAGTTCTAACTGAATATTTACCCATGAAATATGATCTTCTAAATAGGAATTTAATTTTGAATATAAAATCACTTAAATATATTTATGATGAACTTATATTAACTGCCCAATTCTATTAAAATTATTAATAAGATAAGGAGTTAGCTTTATACATTTAAAAGTTAACACCTAGTTAGAATTCTGTCATATTTGAAACTTTAAATTCTGTAAAGAAGAAATGCTAAATATGAAAATATTCAAAGAGGTAAGAAGGCAATCAAATGAATAGATTTCACTTACCAAAGACAGAAGATAGTTTAGGATAACCACTTATTCAGAATGCTCATGTCTAATCTCCTGGTTTTAAAAATTTATTCAGAAATTATAATAGTTAATATTTGTAAAGATCAGGATGATAAATAATTAATAGTAGAAACTTCATGATCATTCTAGGTAAGTAAAGTTTAGGCTGAAGTATAAAATGTACAAATTAATAGAAATAATTTTCTATTGTTGTTTCCTCAGAGAGGATAAACTTGAAATAAAGGCAGGTTTATATGCATTTGGTTATAATGAGGCCAGGATCTCTGTAAATAAGTTCCTCTGCTGATTAAACCAGTACAGCCACAAAAACAACAAAATTACTACTTGGATGGTATTCTTGTTCCTCAAGAGGATACTGAAGATATCTCCATGGGACTGATTTCCTCTAAGGCATCTAATACAAAGAATATTACAGAGTGGAGGGAATTATGGAATAATGGGTGAGAAAATAATAAAAATATCAATCTTAAATAACTAGTCTGAAATGAATGGCACTCCATTAAATATATATTATGGATTGAGTATACCTTTGACCAAATAGGAATGCATAACCAGAATAGTGTTTGATCATAGCCATTTAAAAAAAAATAACTTCTCATAAAATAACACCCGACCTACCATCCTCAAACACATCTCCTAATAATCACTATTAACTCATAGTATCTCTACAGGACACAGTTGGATTGCCCTCTTTGGAGGTACCAACAAATTTTTAAAGTTTTGGAAAATAAGATAAATAAAAATTTATAAGTTCTAACTGATTATTTCCTCAATGATACATAAGCATATGAGTGTGTGTGTGTGTGTGTGTGTGTGTGTGTGTGTATATATATATACACAATATATATATATACATGTATAAATGTATATATATATATATACATACACACAAACACACACATTCACTGAAAAAGACCTTACTTTTTGTATATCTCTAAGTTCTGAGGTCTGAGGGTACTTCAAATGTGACTGAAAAGGAGATGATATCTTGGAGGTGAGTTGACCCTGGTAACATGAGTCAGGTAAAGCCTGTGGGAGTTGATCCTTCAGGTTCTTCATTCAACACAACAAACAAAATGTTGGCATGTTTAATTATTCCTTTTAAAAGAATGAATTTGGATAGAAGGAAAGTTGTTATGCATTTTAAAAATAGCATTAGAATGTTATCACTGAGTAAACAGTGTCTGTTAGGTTCCATGAGGTCAATTCTAACTAATAGGAAACCTATGTACAGGAGAATGGAACACTGTCTCATTCAGCACCATAAGCCCGTAGTTGCAATCACTGTGTCAATCTATCTGGTGAAATTCTTCCCCTTTTTCATGACCCTGTGCTTTACCAAGCATGATGTCCTTTTCCAGACATGATTCTCCTCTTTATCATATGTCCAAATGGTGAGACATTCTAAGGAACATTCTGACTGTGCTAGTTTAAAAACAGTTTTGGTGTTAATTCTGGAAGTCTTTGGTACTTTCAGTGTTGTTTGTCAACACCATAATGCAAATGTATGGATACTGCTCCCATTTTCCTTATGAATTGTCTCACTTTCTTATGCATTTCAGGCAATTGAAAATACTGATGAGTTGCACCTTAGTCCTCACAGTAACACCTTTTTCTCTTCAAAGAGAATGGTGCAGATTTTCTCATAAAAGCATATGTCAATTTCTTGATTGCTGCTTCCAGGAGCATTGATTGAGGAGCAAATAAAATGTTTCCAACCAACAAAGGTTTTCTACTTTTATCGTGATGATGTTTACTGGGCCAGTTCTGAGGATTTTTATTTTGTGTATATTGAGATATAATCCACACTGAAGATTGTATTCTTTGATCTTCATATTGTTTATTCTTCAGGTACTCTTTGCCTTCAGCAACCAATTGGGTGTCATTTGAATATTACTGGGTTAATAAGCCTTCCTCCAATCTTGATGCTATATTTTACTTCATATAGCCCAGCAGCTCAAATTATTGGCTCTGTATGCACATTGAATAAATATAGTGAAAGAATAAACCACGATTTCCTGACTTTGAACCATTCCCTACCTCCCTGTTCATTCCCAATGAATCTCTCTTGAAGGTACAGAGTTGACATAAGCACAATTAAGTACTTTGGAACTCCAATTTCTTGCAATGGTGTGCGTTGTCATGATCTACACACCCAGACATAGACATACTCACATTAGTATCTGGCTTGAATTCCTGACAACTCTGTGTTGCTATACAACTGACATTTTCCCCCTCAGGAAATTTTTACTTCCACATGATATGAAGGGTGTTGTTTGATAATTTCCACATTCGGTTGGGTCACTTTTCATTGTAACGGATACAGATATGTATGGATCAGTTCTAGTCATTAGCCAGGTAGCCACTTTCCAAATTCCTTGTCCTAGTGAGTAGCTTCAGCACTGATCAGGTTCTGTAAATATTTCAATTGGTATTCCAACCATTTCTGGAACCATGATCTTCTCCAATATCTTCAGTGCAGCTTGGATTTTTTTCCCCTTCAATTTCATTGGTTCTTGATTATATGTTGCCTCTTGAAATGGTTGACTATTGACAAAGTCTCTCACTTTTCTCCTCGACAAATCAGTAAAAATTATTCATTTTAATGAATCTTAACCTTTGAGAACTGCAAGGGCAGTGCATTATTTAAGGTGGCTCTTCCAGCGAAAGTCTCAAACTCCCACCAAACCACTGCTTCTACCTAGATATGGTAAAAAGGTAGGGGAATTAGTGTTAGGATTCATCTGTGAGTAGTTACACACAGGATTTTCTAGGGTGCCATCCTGCTGTGGATTCAATGAGCCCTCTGAGAAGAAGAATGGGGGATCTCAATAGCAGTGAGAAAGGAATGGAATGCACCCTGAAGACCCAAGCTCCCTCCACAGTAAACTTAGATCCAGATGACAGCTGTACAGAATCAGAGCAGCAGGAGCCAAACCTGGAACTGGAACAGAGTAATGGGCTGCTGAACCCAAGAGCAAATGCTTTTGTGCAGGAGGCCAGCTTGTGGAGTAGACGGCTTCTGG